GAGGTCAATCTTATTAAGGCCAAATTTGTTGTCTTTATGTTTATTTCAAAGGTAACTATTCAAACATAATATAGGCCATTGCAAGCTACATCAATTTAGGATCCTGTCTGAGCTAGAAGAGAAAGGTGGGATACAAGATGATGATCTGCAAGTTTTTTGTGAACATTTAGATAAGCTGAATGAAGATATTTCTGAGTGATCTGAGGATCTTCTTTCAAAGGAAATTCCACATTGGGTGACAAATCCATTTTCAGATACTGAGGAAGTTGGGGTTGGGGGAATGGAGGAAGAACTACTCGAGCTACAAAATAACACTGAGCTGAAGCCCAAGTTTAAGAAATCATATCAAGTGTTGGTTACAGAAAGAAGTTTCTGATTGCTATCCTGCAATACGGACAGTGGTTAAGAAGCTCATTGTTGCACTTCCAACATAATATTTGGTGGAATGGTACATAAATCTGTGTATACCGACAAAGCTCTCAGCCCCAAAAACCTATGTGCTGAAGTGATCCCCACTAAGAAATTGTTTTCAGAGTAATATCTTTCATGGGACATGATGCCAGTTGCAGATGGACAGTCATTTCCTGAGATAGAAGGTCCTGTCTGACAGGCAGCCGCCATAGATTCTGTCTGGATAGGCTCATGAGGTCCTGGAACCACACCCTCCATGGGCAAAAGGGTGCCATCAGAATCACATCTGCTCTTTAATCTATCGCCTGCTGTACCACTCTGGGAATTAGAGTCAGGAGCAACAAGGCATAGAGTAGAGTTCTTGGCTATGTTAGGAACAGGGCGTCCATTCCTAGTGCCCCTTTCATGTGAGTTTTGGACGTAAACCTTTTTGTTGGTGTTGTTCATTTGTTTTTGTTTTTGTTTTAACTTGATGGTCTGTCTCTACGTGAAAGGATCCACCTCTGCCTTCCAAATCTTTTGCTGATCTGTTGGAAGGCGTCCCTCTGTTAACACATTTCTCTTCCTGCCATATGTGTGGCCTTTAAGGACAGCACATGCTCCTCTGCCCATTGCATCACTTCCATTGCTTCCCGGTGTAGCCGTTGGGATTGCATGTCTCCCTATCTGTTAATATAGACTTTTGTCATCATGTTATCCATTTGAATCAGAACATGACTGCCTACCAGTTGCGTCTGCAAGCAAGCCAGGGTCAACTTTATGGTCCCAAGTTCCAGGAAGTTGATGCTCTTGGATGTTTCCAGCTTCAACCAGGTGTCTTGACCATGTGTCCCATAGGGTTCACTTAGAAGTCTCCCTTCTGTGAACAGAGTCTGAACTAGCCACTACTGTAACTCTGTCCACACAGACTGTGGCAACTCTACCTTCTTGACTATCTTGTAGTCTATTTCCTTCTGGTAGTGAATAAAGAAAGTGCTGCAGGGATCTCATGTGAACTCTAGGCCACGGTAGTAGATCTTGGCACGACACCATCATACCCAGGACACATGCTAGGGTCATCCCCTCCAGTGTCTAAATGTTCAGGACCTGATGAAAGATAAATGAGAAATTTTACTAACCGTTCCTAGAACAGAAGAACCCTGTCCTGTCTTGTGTCTATCCACACTCCCAAGTGTGTAATTCCTTGAGTTGGCTCCAGGGTCCTCTTCTCCCTGTTAATAACACAACCATGTCCCTGTAGTAAGGTAAAGGTAAAGGTTCCCTTGCTCGAAAGCCAGTCAAATCTGACTCTAGGGTTGCGGTGCTCATCTCCGTTTCAAAGCCAAAGAGCCAGCGCTGTCCGAAGACATTTCCGTGGTCATGTGGCCTGCATGACTAAACACTAAATACTTGGATTATAAAGTCCAAGTGTAGGCTCGCCTGGTGACTGAACTCTGCCTGGATCAAAACGTCTTCCAAGTAAGGAAAACAGGACTACTCTCTCAGCCTTAGGAAGGCCACTAGTGTCCCCAGGACCTTGGAGAATATCTGACGTGAGGACTTGAGTCCAGAGGGCGAGGCTCAATATTGGAAATGTTTGCTGTGATATGTGAACCTTAGAAATTTCCTGGATTATCCCTTGTCAGGATTTGCAGATAGGCTTCCGCCAGGTCTATGGAGACCTTGAAGTCCCCTGCATGTATGGAGGTAAAAGATGGAACTCAACATTTCCATCTTGAACTTTCGTGATTGCAGACCTCAACATTTCCATCTTGAACTTTTGTGATTGCACATGTTTGTTGAGCCACTTCAAGTCCGAGATGCCCCTAGTGTTCCCATTCTTCTTGGTGATCGTAAAGGGATGGACTAAATTCCTAGCGAACTCTCTGTCTCGGCACCATCTCTATCACTCCAGTGTCCAACAGATGTTAGATTGCCTGTAACATCATCTTGTGTTTTTCCTGGTGATCTTTCCCATGAGATATCCAAGAAACGTTGCTTGGAACTCTTTTGAACTCTAGTGCGTAGCCATGGGCCAGCATCTCCAGGAACCACTTGTCCGACACAGCCTGGTGCCACTGCCCAGAGAAAGCTATCCTCTTGTGTCTATATCTTCCATTTGTTGTTTATCATCACGACTGAGGTCTCAAAAGGACTGTGGTCTCCTTCTAGAATTCATATCCTTCTTCTTTGATGGTAGCATCCATGACTTGCCTTTGCCTTTCACCAAGTAACATTCCAGGCCTGCTCTTAAAAGGTTAACTCCCTTGAGAGATACCACTGCCACCTTGGTCCTTGTTGCTGGATCTGCATTCCGGTGTCCCAGCCACGTATTTCTCCTGGCCGTTGTACGACATGCCATAGCCCTCGCTGTGAGTTGTATGGCATCCAAAGAGGCTTCTGTCGCAAATGCTGTGGCTAGAGCTATCTGTTTTAGCTCATCTTTAAGGCTCTTTGGTATGTCACTGTCTACAGAAGTTAGCTCTGAGACCCACAGGTAGGCCACTTGAGCAAACAGGGATCCCATAGCTGATACTCTAAGGGAGATGGCAAGCGCCTCAAAAAAAAACTCTACGCAGTGCCTTTGCAACTCCCTTGTCTTTTTTGGGAGTCCATCAGCATCCACGGGAAACAGAGAAGTAGACACTTATAAGTTAATTGAATCATCCACCATAGGAAGTTTGAACTTCTTTGTGGCTCCTGGAATAAGAAAGCAGAGTTTATTAAACACTGGGTTTCCCAGACTTTGGATAGGCTGGGTGTTCCCATACTGCCGTAATGATATTATATAATGCCACAGGAAGCGGCACACTTGGGAATGGCTTTGTCAGAGCCTACAGGAAAGAACCCAGGAACCTCCTTGTCTTCCTGTATCTTTGGAGAGTATGTAAACTCTAGTGCCCTCATGACCTTAGCCCATATTCTATTATAGAGATTAGGAGCAAGAGTCTAGATTGAATGACAGGCACCCTTTTCTTTCTCCTGCTCTAATAGTTCACCTTTTTTCTGGCACTATGCTTGGGAGGCCTGTATTTCTAGGAGGAGGGCTGCCCTCTATACTGGGGCTCCTGTCTCTTTTAGCAGAGAGGACAGTAGCCTAGGAAGAAGCTGCCTGTTGCCCTAGACCAGTGAATTCATTCTCATTTCCTCTCTAAGGCAGGAGAGAAATTTGACTGGGCTTCCTCTCCTGAGGGCTCAGTATTTTGGGAGGTTATATTGGTAGTCTGTGAAGAGTTAAGACTCTCTGTGCCTTGGGAGCTAGATGTTCCCGCCTTCTCAGCCATTTTAGGGGAACCTGAAAGTGAAAGTAGCCACCATCACTCTCCTAACAGAGCCCCAAAATGGAGCCCTACCCCACCCACATCAGCTGAATCCGGTGGGGAAGAAGTAGGCTGTCTATTGTTGCTCCCTTTCCCGAAGGCCCAGCAATAAGGACTGTAAAATTTCCCTGCTAGAGACCTGACCCATGGACCAGAAGCAATTCGTCCTTTTAAAGAACCTCCCATCCAGATCCAGAGGAAAGGAGTAAAGGGTGGGGAAAAGAAAACTGGAGGAGGGGGGGTAATCCTCTTTCTCTCTCCCCCTCCACACCTTGTCAGTTCTCAATGGATACAGCTGACCGGGTAGACTGTGCAGGAGACACGTCCGTCCTCACCACGATCTGGAACAAGGAGGGGGCTCCATTCCAATGCCGAAAGGGACGGCGGCAGAGATTCTGTACCACCCTCGGCCGCCTCTCTTGCCTCTGCTCTCCCCAGGCTCCACTGAGTGTCTGTCTCAAAAACCGCTGCACGCTGCTGCAGCTGGATGGGGGGGATGAGCAGTTTACCACCACCTTCCTAGCGGGGTCCGAGACGTTTCTCTAGGCACCGCGACCGCCTGGGGGCCTCCCAGGACTGCCGGCGCCGGATCCATTGTAATTCGAGGCCTGCAGCTCTCAAATATGTTTTAGGGCTGGAAGGTAAGTACCTTCTCCCATTGCCCTTTAGGTCTTCGCTTCTTCTTCTGACCTTCCGGTGTCTTCTGGGATCTTCGTGCTCTTCAGAGCACAGCCAGCATGTCCTGCTCAGAAGGCAGGGCTGGTAAGACTGGGAATCAGAGGATAAGCCCCTCCCCTCTGGGATCAAAGTTTGCCGGCCCTGCCTACGGAAGGGGGAGGTGCTTTCCAGGAGTAAGGAGTCAAGGACTGCCCCACTCCTGGACCACCAGAGAATATTTTAACTTCTTACGGGATAAACCGACCAATATAGATTGTTGACAGACAGTTCTATAATGAAAAGGTTCACTTTGTCTAGAATATCTACATAGAGATTAAGGGCAGCAAGCCCGAGGCCAAGACAGGGAAGAAGAGCATGGGAATGGAGACTCAGGAAAAAGGAAAACATAAGGGACAGAAAGTCTAGAAACAACAAACAAAAAAGATAAAATTGTTAATGGGTTGAGAAAGGGATAAATGAGGAATGTAAGGGAAAAAAGATATGAAGGTCTGATGGAAAATAAAAAGGACACAAGGAAGTTGAGAACTACTAAATAATCAGGAGCACTAACCTAATTTGTAGGAGCTGATTTTAAAAAGCCAAACGTAATCGGAAAATTTTCTACAAACTTACCTCCAGAGCAGACTCTGTTTTGCTTGCAAGTGGAGGCCTGGAGGTATGTATGCTCTCTCCTTTTTCTGATGGGTGCATCTGGTAGTTGACTGCATGATAGAGAATCTAAGGAGAAATTAATGATATCTGTTATATCTGTGTAATCTATAAAGTAGGAGAGCCCCTTCCCTTCTGTGTAGTATCTTTAGCCAGCCTGCCCCTCCCTACCACAAGGGGGGTAGGGTGGATTACTTAGGGTTTTTTTTAACATTTTGCTTTCAGAAACAAAAAAAACCCCATAATTTCCACTGACAAAGAATCACAATCTAATCTACCTGTTCATCAAAAGCCCAGCCAACCCTTATGACAAATAAGCTCAATAACTCTTTTTAAAAAACACATGTGGGAATGTGTACAACATATTTCTGGATGATAAAGGCCAAATAGGACATCCTTACAAAATCTAAGAATAAGGACATAGTCCAACATCAGTAAGGATTACAATGGATCTGCACCGAAGCATGAGCTTGATTCTCACTGATCGCAAACAACCCCATTTCAGGAACAGAAGGCTACAAAAATGAGAGGAAGCTGTGTCCTTCTGTCACAAAACACCAGCTGTTAAAAACAGGACCACACAAAATGACACACATCAGTGAGTGAAGTGTCCCAGAGCTCCACCTGGCAAAAGGGGGGAAGGGGGGGGGAGGAAGGAATATGTTGATGGGCAAGGGGTTTTTGTTTGAGGACCAACAACAGGGTGACAGGGTTAGTTTTGATTGGTGAAACAACATGATGGGTGACAGAGTTAACCCCCTCCCCATACCACAGCCTGGGTCTTGTCATGGCCCTCTGCATGAGCCCTGCAGAGCAGGCCTGAAGCTATATTGGCCATGTTGGTTAGCTGGCATTTGTGTTTGTTTTGAGGCCATGTTGATTAGTTGGCCCTTGAGCTTTTCTATTTCTGTGTTGTTTTTGACAAAGTTTTGTATCTTTCTTAGTTTTGACTGGGGGGACAGTTTGAATTGGCAGTCTTTCCACCAATGAATATTTGTGGGTGCTGGTATACTGCTTAATTCTCCTACTAGTCAGGCCGACAGCCAACTGCCAGGTATTTATAATTAGTTACTAGTATTGTGTATCATTAGCTAGTCAGTTGGTGTTATTGTTAGTATCACTTACTTTGTTATACTGTTACTTGATGTTATAATGTTTAATTCTCCTGCCAGCCAGGCCTATGGCCAACTGCCAGGTATTTGTAATTAGTTAGCAATATTGAATATTGTAAGCTACTTAATTGGTGTTGTTGTTGTTGTTATTAGCAGCACTGAATATTGTTAGCTACTTAATTGGAGTTATTATTAGTTACTTTGATTTACCCCCTCATGGATCACTGCCTTGTTGTGGCGAGGGGGCTTGCGCGGTTCGATGAAGCTGTGGGCTATGCTGTGAAGGGCCACCCAAGACGGACAGGCTACAGCAGAGAAGTTAGACCAAGCGTGATCCCCTGGAGAAGGTAATGGCAACCCACTCCAGTATGTTTGCCCAGAAAACCCCATGGACAGTATCAAAAGGCTAAAAGATATGACGCCGGAAGATGAGCCCCTCAGGTCGGAAGGTGTCCAATATGCTACTGAGGAAGAGCAGAGGGCAAATACAAGTAACCCCAGAAAGAGTGAAGCGGCTGGGCCAAAGCCGAAAGGACGCTCAGTTGTGGATGTGTCTGATGGTGAAAGGAAAGTCCGATGCTGCAAAAACAATACTGCATAGGAACCTGGAATGTAAGATCTATGAATCAAGGCAAGCTTGACGTGGTCAAAAATGAGATGGCAAGACTGAACATCGATATCGTAGGAATCAGTGAACTAAAGTGGACAGGAATGGGCGAATTTAACTCAGAAGACCATTATATCTACTACTGTGGCCAGGAATCTCGTAGAAAAAATGGTGTAGCCTTTCTAGTCAACAAGAGAGTGCAGGGGTCAGTACTGGGATACAATCTCAAAAATGACAGAATGATTTCGGTCCGATTCCAAGGCAAACCATTCCACATCACAGTAATCCAAGTCTATGCCCCAACCACTGATGCAGAAGAGGCTGAAGTGGACCGGTTCTATGAAGACCTACAACACCTCCTAGAACTAACACCAAAAAATGATGTCCTCATCATCATAGGGGACTGGAATGCTAAAGTAGGAAGTCAAAAGGTAACTGGAATAACAGACAAGTTTGGCCTTGGAAAGCAAAATGAAGCAGGGCAAAGGTTAACAGAGTTTTGTCAAGAGAACACACTGGTCATAGCGAACACCCTTTTCCAACAACCTAAGAGGCGACTCTACACATGGACATCACCAGATGGGCAACACCGAAATCAGATTGACTATATAATTTGCAGTCAAAGATGGAGAAGCTCTATCCAGTCAGTAAAAACAAGACCTGGAGCTGACTGTGGTTCAGATCATGAGCTACTCATTGCAAAATTCAGACTTAAACTGAAGAAAATCGGGAAAACCATGAGGCCATTCAGGTTTGACCTAGATCACATCCCTGATGAATATACAGTAGAGGTGAAGAATAGATTCAAGGGTCTGGATTTGATAGATAGAGTGCCTGAAGAACTATGGACGGAGGTTCGTGACATTGTACAGGAGGCAGCAATCACCACCATCCCAAAGAAAAAGAAATGCAAGAAAGCAAAGTGGCTTTCTGATGAGGCTTTACAAATAGCAGAGGAAAGAAGGAAAGCGAAAGGCAAAGGCGAAAAGGAAAGATTTACCCAACTGAATGCAGATTTCCAGAGAACAGCAAGGAGAGATAAGGAGGCCTTCCTGAATGAACAGTGCAAAGTAATAGAAGAAAACAATAGAATGGGAAGGACTAGAGATCTCTTCAAGAAAATTGGAGAAATCAAGGGAGCGTTCCATGCAAAGCTGGCCATGATAAAGGACAAAAACGGTAGGGACCTAACAGAAGCAGAAGAGATTAGGAAAAGATGGCAAGAATACACAGAAGAACTATACAAGAAAGACCTCGATGTCCTTGACAACCACGACGGTATAATCACTGACCTCGAGCCAGACATCCTGGAATGTGAAGTTAAATGGGCCTTAGAAAGCATTACTAACAACAAAGCTAGTGGAGGTGATGGTATCCCAGCTGAGCTATTCAAAGTCTTAGAAGAGGATGCTGTTAAAGTTCTGCACTCCATTTGCCAGCAAATTTGGAAAACGCAACAGTGGCCACAGGATTGGAAAAGATCAGTATACATTCCAATCCCAAAGAAGGGCAATGCCAAGGAATGTTCAAACTATCGCACAATTGCACTCATATCACACGCTAGCAAGGTCATGCTCAAGATCCTACAAGCTAGGCTTCAACAGTACGTGGATAGAGAACTACCAGAAGTACAAGCTGGGTTTCGAAGAGGTAGAGGAACGAGAGATCATATTGCCAACATTCGCTGGATTATGGAGAAAGCAAGAGAGTACCAGAAAAATATCTACTTCTGCTTCATTGACTATGCTAAAGCCTTTGACTGTGTGGATCACAACAAACTATGGCAGGTCCTTAAAGAGATGGGAGTACCAGACCACCTCACATGTCTCTTGAGAAACCTGTATAAGGGCCAAGAAGCGACAGTTAGAACCGGATACGGAACAACTGATTGGTTCAGCATAGGAAAAGGAGTACGACAAGGATGTATACTGTCACCTTGCTTATTTAATATATATGCAGAGTACATCATGCGAAATGCTGGCCTGGATGAATCACAAGCGGGAATTAAGATTGCTGGGGAAAAGATCAACAACCTCAGATATGCAGATGATACCACTCTAATGGCTGAAAGTGAAAAGGATCTAAAGAGCCTCTTGCTCAGAGTAAAAGAGGAGAGCGCAAAAGTGGGCTTGAAGCTCAACATCAAAAAAACTAAGATCATGGCATCCGGCCCCATCACTCCTTGGCAAATAGAAGGGGAAGTCGTGGAAGTAGTGACAGACTTCACGTTCCTGGGATCCCAGATCACCGCAGACTGTGACTGCAGCCATGAAATTAAAAGACGCCTGCTCCTTGGGAGGAAAGCGATGGCGAACCTAAACAGCATGATAAAAAGTAGAGACATCACCCTGCCAACAAAAGTCCGCATGGTCAAAGCAATGGTATTCCCAGTAGTCATGTATGGCTGCGAGAGTTGGACTATAAGGAAGGCCGAGCGCCAAAGAATAGATTCTTTTGAACTATGGTGCTGCAGTCCCTTGGACTGCAAGAAGAACAAATCAGTCAATCCTAAAAGAAATCAACCCTGACTGTTCCCTGGAAGGCCAGATAATGAAACTGAAGCTCAAATACTTTGGCCAACAAATGAGAAGAGAGCACTCACTGGAGAAGACCCTGATGCTGGGAAAGATTGAAGGTCAAAGAAGACGAGGACGGCAAAGGATGAGATGGTTAGACAGTGTCATTGATGCAACGAACATGAAGTTGAGCAAACTTCAGAGGACGGCGGAAGACCGGAAGGCCTAGCGGGAACTGGTCCATGGGGTTGCAAAGAGTCGAACTCGACTGTGCGACTGAACAACAACAACTTTGATTTATTTAATTTATTGTATACAAGTGAACTTTTCTTCTTTGCAGTTTAACTATTGTAGGATGTTTTCTCATACTGATACTGCTATTTGGCTTAGCAGTAGATTATCAACTACAGCACCCAGTTTAGTCTTTATTTCAGAACTGAACTTGAGGCGCCGACATCACGGCCTCACCTCACAATATCACTAGGGACTTGGGCATGCCTGTCCTTTTGGGTGCGGGAAGATATACCAGAGAAAGGAGCATAGCTATAAGAACTTGGAGACATGGCTATGCTTGGTGTCCTTCTAATCTCCATCCGATCTGCAGGGATGACAATGTGCTGATGTCTGGAGCAACTTCCTCTTTGTCCTTGATATCGTGCAATTCCAGGTCAATGCATAAGATCGCTACACTTCGGGATATTATCTGGCACTGCAATTTTGATCTGGCCTGCTTGACAAATACCTGGGTGAGGGAGAGTGAGACAGTTTCCCTCTCCCAACTTGCTCTGCCTGGTTTCTTGGTCCTACATCAACCCTGAATTGGAAGACAGGGAGGTGGAGCGATTCTTATCTGAGATGGGTTTTCCTTCTGGAAAATCCCCATTCCAGAGATAGACAGTATTGAATGTGTGGGCCTCGGGTGGGGTATCGGGGAGAAGCTGGCTATCCTGCTGGTTTACCATCTGCCCAGCCCATCAGCAGATACCTTACTGAAGATGGCAGAGGTAATCGCCAAATGGAAATGCAATACCCAGTTGGTGGTTGTGGAGGATTTCAGTATCCATGCGGTCATCGTTAAGTCAGTCATGGCTTTGCAGGATATCTAAACCAAGCCACTAAAAAGTTATGGTATGATTTAAAAAAATAATTCTGAAAGGTTTTTCTACATGAATTTTTTCTGTGAACGTTTGGTTGCAGTGAACGTGCAAAGGTTCATTGTGATTGCACAAATCATTCTGACAAATGGCTCATGGGGAACGAATCACACATGTTATGAACTCTGAGTCTGTGCAGAGTGCACACCTAGTTATGGTAAACCTTAATATAAAATCTGGGATGTATGGTATTTTACAACAGAGGCTATGCGTCTTTGGCACATGCTACATAGAACAAAGTGGTAATGCTAACTGAGCTGAGTGGTAAGGCTAATGGCCTTCTGCCATTATAATTCCAAATTCATCATATTTGCATTTTACATTTTTACATTTTTCACTTTTCTTCTTGCGGCTTAGGAAAAGCTCCTCCAGACTATGTAACCCAGAGGTACTGCCTTACCCTAGGGTAGCCCCAACAACAGGGGCACCCCACTTTCTAACTTGAGCCAGAGACCCACAAACCCAGACCAAGGAAGACACTCCTGGTTCTGAAACACAGAGCAAGTCATAGCCCTTGAAAAGATTCTCCATTTTCAGGTGGCTTAAGGCAGCCCTGAGAGCGAACCTCAGAGCGAACCACACCCAGCAAAAGTATGCATATGAAATAATGGGTTCCACCAGGTAGTGTATCTGCATTTCTTAAGCTATTCAGAGGCCACCTTGCAAATAGCCCTTCTATCTCCAGAACTTCACTAAGCCTTTTTGTGTGACCTCATGTCTATGTGAGAATCCTTTGTCTCCAAACCTATCTTTCCTGCTCCATCTCTCAGGATACTGAAATAAACCAATCATACATTCAACTGTTTAGCGATCCTTCCTGATGCTAACCAGGGACTCATCTCCCACCTTTTGTCTATACTTGGGAATCTTTTCAAACTGCCTTGCCTGAACCATTAGTGGTCAGAAAACCCATTCATCTAGCCACCAAGCACCCGGCTAAACCTATCAAGGCTATTGTCATGCCTGCCCCTGATGTAGCATCTGACAGCCAGGAACAAGGGGATTTGGCCCCAAAAGCCCCTGATGTGACCACAGAGGCAGAGCCTAACAGCCAAGAACTGACTCCTTTAGCAGAAGACACTGTAAGTCTTGAGGAGGATAGAACCTCCCAGGAGACACCTGCGCCGGATTAGGCTCTGCTTGACTCAAGCAGATCACCCCCCGACTCTGCCCCACCTGTGAACCGGCTCAGGAGTCAACGACGACAGGAGCTGAATGAGAGACGCAAGGCTGCACGCATGCGCGGAAGACGCTCATTCAGCCCTGAGTTTTAACAGCGGCCTGACCTTGCTCCACTAAGATAACAAGTTAATGAGCCAGCACACTATATCAACAAACCTGCTGCTTGAAGCAATTTGTACTGGCAACTTCAGTTGACAGGACCAGACGCTCTGTGCAATCTTGCTCTGGACTCTTTGAAACCTTGACCGTTTGTTACTCTGCTTCTGAACTCCGGCTCCCTGACTCTCGGCATTGTTTGACCACGACTTCGGCTCTGCGATACTCTGGCTTTACTTGATTTATGGACTATGACGTATGGTATGTTTGACGCTGGCTTTGTGAATTGTTTTGGACTTGTTTAAATCTCTGTGCTGTTTGAACTATTGGCTGAACCTCGGACTGGCTTTGGACTTGACCTGTTTAACCCACGCTCCCTGGCCCTGCTGTGACAGCTATTGTTAATCCAGACTCTGCCCCTCTGGAACCTCATTGGTCACATCGAGGTCTGGCTCCTCCTGATGCTGCACCCCCTGGGACCTAGGACTGGGCCAAGTAATCTTTTATCTTCACCTGAGACAAGCCCCTCAAGACCACCTATTTGTCTGAATTGTTCTCCAGTTTCTATATCCGTCCACGCACACCCACCCTCTCTTTTTCTCTGCCCCCCATAGCACATAACACTGGCCGTTGCAAGGACATTTGCATGTCTGGACAGGTAGTATTACCCCATAACTGACCCCTCTATTTGCTATCAACTCCGCTTTCTTAGTTCTGTATTGCTTGCTCTTTTTAAATGTTTAGTGTGCTTGTAATTAGTAAATTCCTTAATAAAAACTATTTAATTTACTCTTCTAATTTAGAGTCTTCCTACTGTACCGAACCTTGGTATAAACAGGTGTACAGGTCCCTTGTACTCCTCTGGCCTTGCCTGCTGCCTAGCCAATTTCCCCAAACAACAAGGCAGGCCATTGGCGGTAACAACTAGTACTTTGCATCTAAGACTGCAATGAGAAATCACAAGAATGCTAGCCGGGGGGGGGGAGATTTTCAATAACAGAAATACATATATAAATTTGATTCTGCTCCCATTCAGGTATTCCAGGTCAATAACACAATTGGCAACAGGTCAGGTTCATTTTAAAAACCACTTCTGTTTTTAAACAAACCCTCAGAAAATCATGACATACCTCAGTTCGCAATGAGCTGCTTGCTGCCAGAAGTGATTTTATGGCACTTGGGGGACAGTGTGTCAGAGCATAGGCTATGAGCTCTTGCCGAACAGCCATGTCCTGATAACCTTCTGATTGTCCTAACTGGCTGCAAACTTCCCAGCTTTCAGAATAGCCTGACATAGACATAAAGATTATAAAAATGAGATGGCACCAACCTAAGGATTACTAATTTGAGAAGTGCGAAAATTTCATATTTTTATGGAAGCAAAGTTAAATATGAATGACCTACAACTATGGTTCCCAAAGCCTGACACTTCTGTAATAGTTACACAGATACTGTACTCTAGTGATGTTTTTAAAAATCAAATCTAAAATGCTCATTCTTCTGTAACTACAATCATGCCATTCACTTTCTCTATATGGTAACTCACTATATTTTATCTACAGGCTGGTTCTTAATGTCCTAAATGGCTTGAGGTCAGAGTACTTAAAGGACCACGTGTTCTCATACTGACCAGTCCACCAGCTGGACAGCCCATGACCTTCTTTACAAGCCCTGATCTCTGGGCCCCCATCTTCAAAAGTGAGGCAGATGGCAGGGCTTTTTCCATGGTGGTACCTCACCTGTGTAATGCCCTCTGTCTTGAGGCTCACCTGCTGCTGACCCTACTCTCTTTTAGGTGCCAGGCCAAAACTTTTTTTTTTAAATCAGGCATTTAATTAAGGGGCTGATCTCTTAACATAGTTTTAATAGCCCGAGAACTGTTTTAGGAGAAATATTTCTGATTTATGCTCTTGCTGGGTTTTTAATAGTTTTTTAATTGGTAAAAAAAACTTTTATGTGGTTTTATTATGTTTTACTTTGTAAGCTGCCTCAAGCTGGTCTTCTGGAAAGGCTGCAAAGACATTTCCTAAACAAGCATATCCCCATTCACATCTTTAGCTCCCCCATTTATGATTTTTGGTCAAATTACTCCAGTGAGTCTTGGCTCCACACACCCAGCTTGTGGGGCTGCTGTATCAATTTGCCTGGTAAGACGGGAGCCTTACAGAATCCTAACAATTAAAAAAATGGGGTATGTACGACATCTGCCATTTATATTGCAGCAAAAAATTCACAAAATATATTTAAGGGAGGTAGTATTTTACCTGAAGCCATAAGCTCCTGACAATGCATATTTGCTGCTTTGTAATCCTGAAGTTGTAGAGCTTGTTCAACTAAAAGAATCAAAACTTTTCCTTTTCTCTCACTCTGGTCATCACCTGTAAAAGATACAAAGATGTACTGTTGTGTCTGAATATCAGTACATGGTTAATGAAACAACAACAAAAATAGTGACTTAATCATAGGTGGAGGTATCCTTAAATACAAGGAGGAATGCATGCCAGAGCATATACACAGACCTGACAGACCAACAATTTATTTAAGAAATGGATTCTGAGGTAAAATAGTACACACATTATAAATTACACAAATTAATGCTGAGGCTTTTGAAAAGGCAAAATCTAACTATGCATACAACATTGTCTCTCTTCCCAGGTGTAGAAATACAGATACATTTATGTGTATTTAACACTATTGTGTCATACCCCGAGTCAGAGATAGGAAGGATAGTGGTAGGTAGAGAGGACTATACACTGGTCTCTTGGACACAGCTAAGCATTCTAGTTCTACATCTAACCCTCTGTATACGGGAGCTCCCGGTTGCCGCCAAAGGCAATGGCGGCCAGGGGCTGGTTTGCCGCCGAGAGGAAGCGGGACGGCAACAGCGTCCCAGCGCAGAGTGTTGGGATGGGGGGGTGGGCGGAGCCGGCCTTGCTAGGCTGGGCTCCGCTCCCGCCCCAGGCCAGTTGCTGCCTCTACCTAATAACAGTATAGTGTGTGTGTGCATTTTAACAAGACCCTCATGGCTGGAGAACATGTTAGGCCAAATGTCAAGTAACTATTGACAAAAAGTTAATTGGGGAAAAAATTAAGCCAAACCTAACTGAATTAATTGAATGTGTAAAAAAAGTCATTCTCTGTTTTTGCCATGTGGAAACCATCATTCAATCACTATGTGACCTTTATCTTTTGACTCTTGCTCAGGCAGTGTCTCTCACCTCTACTGAAATAGGGTAATAATAATGGCTCAGTGATACAGCTGGCTTCTGGAGTGCATTTTAGTGACATGTAGTTTATGGACAGAATCATACTACAAAAATGTTATTCAAGACCTGCTCAATATTAACTTCTTCAACAGCCCAACCTATAAAGTTCAAGAAAGCCTTTGAGGTCTGCTGTTTGCTCAGCTTATTGTTGCTGGACACCAGACAGGTACCAGTAAGATGTTTACAATATAATAAGATAGTAGCCTATACAGGACTGACAACATCTGAATTTATCAAGAAGCTTTGGGCTCACTGATTCCTGTACACATAAACAAAGCCGTAGCGACTGTACCAAATTAAGTTTTCTAACTTACTACAGTCAACATGTGGGGGCTATATAGGGGGGGTGTCTTTTCTGGGCAGGTGTGAACAATGCCTCAAGTAGAGCCCCCCAACAGCTCCCATATTTCAGTTTCGCTCTGGCGGCTTTAAATGAGGCAATGCACAGCAGGATATACATCTCTTACCTTCTCCTGGCAAGTGCTAGTGAAGAGAGGGAGGGGAATGGTGATTACGCTACAGACCACATCATTTGAAGAGGTGGTTGACACTCTAATGGAGGAGCTCCACAGTGCTTGCCAGGAGAGGAGAAGGGATCCTGCTGGGCACTGTTCAATATAAAAAGAAAGATGTGCATTTATGAGAAGGTGAGGTTGTTAGGGATGGCTTGCCTTTCAACAAGAACTTTGCCCCCTCTGAATCTCTTCCCTTTCCCCCGCACTCTCTCAAAACTTAAATTTGACCTGGAAATGGGCAGAATACCACCAGACAGCAAGTCAAGGCACAGAGATCTGGCTGAAAAATTTCCAGAGGCAGCCACTAACATGTAACTGCTTGGAAAATGCAGGCAACATTTGCTATACACATTTACTATAGTAATAAACCATGTGGGTTCAGCTAAAATTAATGCATTTTTTGACAATTTATTCAGATTTTAAAGCCATCTAACCTCCTGTTGTTTTTAGTCTTATTATCATTCAGCACATGATTATATCAGCATAAGAAACAGCACAGAAAAGGGTATGTGCTCTATTCCACTGCTCCTTGAAAGTAACTTCCTGTGCATGAGTTACCTACATCATGCAGAAGGGGATGGTTTGCAGATATGGGGGAGATCTGTGAACTCTAAATCCCCCAGTCTTGCCAGTTCTCTGAAGCTAAGCAGGGCCAGCCCTGGTTAGCATTTGGATGGGGGACTACCAGGAAAGTCCAGAGTTGCAGCACAGAGGCAGGCAAGAGCAAACCATCTGTGAATGTCTCTTGCCTTGCAAACTCTTTGAGGGTAGCCGTAAGTTTGCTGTGGTTTTATGGCACTTTCCACCATTCCCAGTGAACTGCCTGAAGGCAAGGGGAGGAACTGTGTTCCACTGCACCCAATGAAAATTCTCCACACCTGGGTGCAGTGACTAAGAGACTGAGCTACAAATCTAGAAAAGAGTTAGTTTCAACCTGACACAAACTTACCAGGTAGCTTTAGATAAGCCAGTCTGTCATCTCCCCTCTCCCCCCTTCATCATGGGGATAACAGCTGAGACCATCAGAGAAGACAAAGAAGAGGTTGGATTTATACCCCGCCCTTCACTACCCAAAGGACCCAAAGGACTTCACTACCCCGGCTTTCAAGCTCCTTTCCTTTCCCTTCCCCACAACAGACACCCTGTGAGGTAGGTGGGGCTAAGAGAGTTCTGACGAAACTGCTCTTTTTCAAGGACAGCTGTGCCAGAACTATGGCTTGCCCAAGGTCATCCAGCAGGTGCAAGTGGAGGAGTGGGAAATCAAACCTGGTTCTCCCAGATTAGAGTCCGCGCTCTTAACCACTACACCAAACTGGCTCCTCCACTATGCCTGCACTAAGGAAGCCCTGCACTTAAAGAGACTGAAAACATCTAGCTGTAAAGTTAAAGGATCAAGGATAAAATGCAGCCACATCTGTATGTAGCTTGGCAGCCTCTTTACAGCAGGTGGTATTTTTAACTGTGGCCACCATATTGGAAGGAGGAACAACAATCAGAGAAGCAGTGGTAAGAAGACCTTAACAGGGTAGTCAAATATCTGTTTACCAGCTTCACAGTGTGAACGTTTTAATTTGTTGTACTTTCCCCCCCCCCCAAAGGTGAGCATTTTATTGAATAACCACAATACTTCAGATGACACACAGGTGCTTTAGAGTTGGTCAGTATACAAATCAGTTCTTGGAAGCAATTAGCCTCCCAGGGCTCTTGCTCTGTGAACCGAGCTTTATCTTCTGCTTCAAGGTCCTATTCATCAGGTGGCAAGAGCTTCCATGCTTTTTCATAGATTCTGGTGGAGACAACGTTGTTCATAGTGCACTCCACAATCAGCTTTCCATCAGCTATCTTCCTCTTAATTGTGGTCTGTTTCCCATCCCATTTCTGCACTTGGCTGAGAGATCTAGCGTCACAAGACTCTTTACTTTCCTATCATCTGCTGTCATCTCATCAAACTCTTCTCCCAGCTTGATGTTAATCTCCGTGTTCTTTAAAGTGCTCTCTGTTCTGATGGTTACAAGATCCCCTTTGCAACTGAAAATGACACTGGGCTCAGCAAAACCAGCCACTTTCCTAGTAGCAAAGCCCACACCAAGTTCTTTCAGGTAATCATCAAAGTTCTCACTAGAAACCAGCTTCCACATTCCCAAAAACTGCTCACATGTTGTGGCTGATTAACTAAGCTCCTTTCCTAAACACTCCAGAGCAACACCACCCAATCTGGTGTACTTTTGGTGGATTTTGTAAGTCACCTTGAGGACCAAAGAATAGTGGAAGTGCCAAATAAACATTTCTTTAAAACACAAGAAATACAGAACAGACAAGGTTACTGTTCAGAATTCTCACGTGTTTGATGCTCTCATATGTAATTGCTGGGTGATTTGTAAACATGTGCATGCTCAGACTAGTTACTTTCAGACATATGCCAAGCCTATAAAAGTTTTATTGTTGATCCTTCTCAGGGCTTTTTTGTAGAAAAAGCCCAGCAGGAACTCATTAGCATAATAGGCCACACACTGACAGCACAGTTTAAACTGCCTTCCCTTGGCTTGCACTGGTGCCCCACTGCTGCGGGGAGCCCAGGCAAGCCAGCCCTTGGACAAGCCAGGGAAGGCATGGGGAGGCATTTAAATGCCTCCCCATGCCTTCCCTGGCTTGTCCAAGGGCTGGCTTGCCTGGGCTCCCCGCAGCAGTGGGGCACCAGTGCAAGCCAAGGGAAGGCAGTTTAAACTGTGCTGTCAGTGTGTGGCCTATTATGCTAATGAGTTCCTGCTGGGCTTTTTCTACAAAAAAGCCCTGAGAAGGATCAACAATAAAACTCAGCAGTCATATTTTTTCACCCTGCCAAGTTGCTCTCAGATTCATTATACACAGTCATCAACTGCGAAATACCTGGGGAAAAATATTACTCAGAGGATCACCTTACTTCTGTACTTGCTGCATACAAGAGATGAGCCCTACAAAATCTTCACCATAACTGAACTACAGTACTGCTAATGCTCCAAGTGGTAGTGCTAAGGCTTACCAGCGCAAGGTTGGGTATGACTAAGGAAGACTGAAGTCTTGATGTTTGCACTGCACACCACCGTTTATCTTTGAAAACTTGTCTTCCAAACTGATTTGTAAAAGGTTTCTTACAACTGATGAAGATTCATATCAAAACAGGAATATAGCCAGCATCCTGTCTTGTGGGTCCAGGGAACCACTTTGGTCTAGTGGTTAAGAGCACAGAATCTAATCTGGGAGAACTGGGTTTGATTCCCCACTCCTCTGCATGCAGCTGCTGGTGTGACTTTGGGTCAGCCATAAGTTCTTCCAGAGCTGTTCTCTCAAGGGCAGTTCTCAAGAGAGCTTTCTCAGCCCCACCTACCTCACAGGGTGTCTGTTCTGGGGAGGGGAAAGGAAGGGGGTTGTAAACAGCTATGAGACGCCTTCAGGTAGTGAAGGGTGGGGTATAAATTCAATCTCCTCCTCCTCCTTCTTTTTCAGCTTGTTTATTTCTTACAATACAATTTCACAGCAATTGTTTCAATTGCAAGGATTTTTGTGCATGTTATTGCAATTGGTAACGTATGTAATTGTTACTGTTGTAAAAGACCATTT